TGGTCAACACCTAAATATTTTTGCTTTATCTCAAACACTTTGAAAAACGTAAAGCAGCCAAAAAAAAAATATCATCTTAATAGTTGACAACCATAATACATATATAACTATTGAAGCCATTGATTTATGCAAAGAAAATGTTGTCATTATGCTCACTTTGCCACCCCACACAAGTCATAAACTGCATCCTTTGGTTAGTACTGTATTCAGCTCAATTAAAGAACATTATAATAGTGCTTGTAATCAATGAATGCTTACGCATGCTGGAAAGCCTATAACAATCTATAATATTGCTGAATGTGTAAGCAAAGCATATCCCCTTTCTTTTACACTCAAGAATAGTGTTTCTGGTTTTCAAGTAACTGGTATCAATCCCTTTAATTGATGTATTTGATGACACTGCATTTTTATCAGCTTTTGTCACTGATAGGCCAATTCTATAAACAAGTTTATCTGTGCAAAATATGAATGAGTTCCAGCAATTCACCTCTACCAGTAATACCTGAACAGTTGAGGCAATTTCCAAAGGCAACATCTCGAAAATCAAGTTACCGAGGGCGAAAAAGGGAAAAACCTGCTATTTATACAGACGCACCTGAAAAGAATGGTACTTGAAGATGCTATTAAGAATAAAAAAGACTCTCAGGGAAAAGGAAAAAAAATGTATGAATGGAAAAGGCTAAAAAGAGATTAAAGAGCTTTAATTCAGCAGTTGTAGTGAAAATGAGCATCTAATGCTCTCAGATTCAGTGGGAAATGTATCTGGAAGAAAACCAGTAATTAGTGATCTATGTAATGATAACAGTGATGATGATGCTTGCAGCTTGGATGAAATGAACAGTGAAAGTGACAATTATATATTTAACGATAAGGAAAAAGTTCACTTACAAAAAATTGGTGAAACAAGCTTATATGTGGGAGATTTTGCTGTTACCAAATTTACGGGTAAAAGACTTGTTGTTGCTTTTGTAGGTTGCATTGAAAGAGTTTATGGAGATAAGTACGAGTTATCATTTTAGAGAAGAGTAAATCATTCTTCAACATTTATTTATCCCGAAAACGAAGAAAAATCGTACATAAATTCAAATGACATTTTGTTAAAACTTAAAGAACCGGAGCAAAGCACTGAACGTTCGCTAGATTTAGTATTTGATTTTGGACGGTTACAATTGTATGTAAAATTTGTTAATTAGATTTGCAAGCAAGTACTTGAAACTAGCAAAAAAAGCTTTACTAACAAAATTAGGAAATGTAAATTTATTTAGTTATACTTTTTTTCTTAGAAAATTTCTACTTAACTTTTCACATTTGTTTAAATGTCCCAAGGTGCACCACTGGAAGATACACCTGTGGACAAATAACAAGGTAACTGAAAGAAATTTAAATTTATTTCTGCTACAGATACAAAATCCAAACCTAGTTAAAAATGTTTTCAAATGTTACAAGAATACCAGGTAAAATTTTGACAATAATTGATCAAAATAAAAAAAAATTAAAGAAAAAAAGAAAGTAAAAAAGTGTCTCAAGGTGAGCCACTCTTCCCTACCTATGAATTAGGAATGGCAGATGAATAAGATACCTTAGATAAATATTTTTGGACCTACTTTTGCATGTATAACAGCTTATATTTGTAAAGTCATCCTATCGATAAGCTCATATTGTTGAGAGCCTTAAATATCAATCACATTGTTGAGAACCTCAAATAACTATGCCAAAAGTCTAATGTACAATGGCATGCCTGATATGGCACGTCTTAAAAATATGAACTCTACATGGAGAAATCTAGCATTTATTCTTGCTTTGAATTTGTTTTAGATAGTCATATTTCACTAATATGTCTTTACTCAAACTTAACAAACTAACTCTAGATGCCTCTCATCATTGAATTATAAAACTTTAAAACGGAAAATTCTCAAACATAAAATCTAACAAATTAAAAGTATTTAATTAAAAAGATAATAATTCCCTTAACCTAAATTTAGAAGAATTTTTTTAATTGTTCTTGTTTTTCGTATGAAAGCACATTGTTCTAAAGATAGAACAGTAGTTTTCAGGTTTGTTGCTAATAGGGTAAGCATTCAGGTTTAAAAATAGGGTTAAAAACTCTAGATGCCTCTCATCATTGAATTATAAAACTCTAAAACGGAAAATTCTCAAACATAAAATCTAACAAATTAAAAGTATTTAATTAAAACGATAATAATTCCTTTAACCTAAATTTAGAAGAATTTTTTTAATTGTTCTTGTTTTTCGTATGAAAGCACATTGTTCTAAAGATAGAACAGTAGTTTTCAGGTTTGTTGCTAATAGGGTAAGCTTTCAGGTTTAAAAATAGGAAGAAATAAAATAAAAGAAAGTTTAGGAAAAGGAATATTTCAGGAAATTGAGCTATAATGCAGGCTTATCCAGAAAACTTATCTAATAGTTAAAAGGTAATAACTATTAGGTAAGTTTTCAAGGTTAAAAATTGGCACTATGTATGTAAACATATTTTTAAATGAAAAGAAAATAATACAAACTATTGTATACAAACCGTTTTAGATTACAGTATAAAATATAGAGGATTTCAATAAAAAAAAAACTTGGCATGTTTAAAGTTACCAAAAGCAAATCAGTGGTTTAACGACTAAAGTGGAAAACCGGTTGAAAAACTTTTCCACAAACACGCATAACAGAAAGCAAAGCTTCCAGTCATTAGAGTTTTATATTTTAATTCCTGTTGATGAGTTCGTGAAAAATCTCCTTCCTTCCCAGATTTAATGAGATCTGCACGCACACTTCTATTCCATGTGAGCGTTAAGCAATTTCATTTCCTTTTTTCTGATGTCTCAGCCAATCAGTAAAACTTTCGGTTCTAAGCTGAGTTTGTTATAAATTCTGATTTCTTTAATTACGGAGAAAGGTTTGTTGAATTCTGTTGAAATTATTGTCATTATCGACAATGACTTTCAGCCAACACGCATTAATGCGCAAAACACTGGTGCATGAAGATGCGTGTAAAGAAGAAGCGTGTGCGGCTAATGGTTGCGAAGAACTTAATTAAAAGAGATAAAAAAGTATCGTGCGGATTTTTCATTTCGTAACTGGTCTTTTTTTGAGAAAAAAAGTTAAGGAGAGAGTTAATGTATTTTTTTTTATAAATGAAAAAGTACATTTTTTTTTAAAATAATTTATAATGAAAAGAAAACCAAGTAGGTTTATTTTTAACCTTTGAAAACAAGATTTGTCATGATTTTTTTTTATATAATCATAAGCTACACTTAAGCTCAAAAAGGAGCTTATGTCAGTAAAGAATATTTTTAGTCATGGGTTGTGAAAGAGCAATTTAATAGTGCGTGTGTATATATTTTAAAGCACTTAATGTTCATTAAAGGTAGGTAGGTAAATCTTGAAAAAACCTCGAAATCGTATATCTGTCTAACATTATTAACTTAGATTTGCTAGTTTTTCTTCGTATTATTTGCTTTTTAAGAAATTCTTTAGAAAAATTCACTAACAGGATCAAATTTGAAATGGCGGTTAGAGTTAAATTTCCGACTTGCATCATAATATATTTCTAAATTTTATTAATGCTAGGATATCTATATATATATATTTCTCTTCCACGGAGGGAAAAAAAAAGCCTCATTACAACTCCCCGAACGGCAACGCTAAAAAATCGACCAATGATCGCAGCTAAATATGTCACATGCCAAATCTAGCGGAGGTGGCTCAGCATATAGCGCTTTTAAAAACGGAAACTGAAATAACCTTAAGTTAGGCAGAAGTGAGTAGTNAATATCCATATATATATAAATGCAATACAGGAGTTTGGAGTATGATAGTTAAAGGTAATAAGTAATAAGAAAAACTGTGACTCAGGATATAGAATTTTCTACTCTTGATGAGGTGGCCCTAGGTCGAGTGCGGTGGCTCGTTGATGCGAATTTTGCTCTCGACTCGCACCGACCACAGTGTATTGTTAGACGAGATATGAGTGAGATACCTGTAGCCGACGTTCTAACTAGGGGGGGGGGTCGTGGTTTAGCTTTCCATGTAACGCAAACGCGAGTTAGTTCCATCAAAAAGTCCTCCACGAATGCTTGTCTGCCCTAATACTTGATTCAGAAAGCATGCTGCCTACCTTTACTTTTACAGTTTGTAAAGAGAGATTTTGAGAGCGTTGATTGGATATTTCGGCAATGTCTTCTGTGACGTATGTTTATTTAATTCTGCTATGCTTATTATTTAAAGCATAGTGCAATATCTAAACAACAGCTCTTCTTCTTCAAACTTGAAATGTCTATTGTTTCGCCTGAGAAACTGCCTTCGTTATTTGAAAATGAAATCGAAACTATTTCCTCTTACATTATTACCCTTAAATACAATGTTTTAAATTTAGAAAATTGCGGAACAATTGCGGATAAAGGGAATTGCGGAACTCACAAATACGAAATGGAATTCCAGAACTTCGAAACCTTACGGACAAAGATTCTCTCATAATGGATCTAAACTGCATGATTTTTAATTAGAAATTTACATTTTGTAAACAAATTACGGAGAAACGATATTGGGGAGGAGCTACAGAAAGGTGTAGCAGAAGGCTTTGCTGAGAAATCCAATCAGCGCACTCAAAATCTCTTTTTACAAACTGTAGGTAGAAAGGTAGCTAGGTAAATTCTGAAAAAACCTCAAAATCGTATATCTGTTTAACATCATTAACTTTGATTTGCGAGTTTTTTTTCCCTTTTTCTTTGTATTATTTGCTTTTTATGATATCCTTTGAAAAATTCACTAAGAGGATCAAATTTGCATTGGCGATTAGAGTTAAATTTCCGACTTGCATCATAATATATTTCTAAATTTTATTAATGTTAGGATATATTTAAAAAATACTGACAGAAATACTGATATGTTAGGATATATATGAAAAATACTGAAAAAATACTGATATTTAAAAAAACAGAATACAACTGAGAATAAAAATACTTTGATAATATCTGAAACCATTTAGTACTTACATTGGACGTCCAACTTCACAACATCACTTTCACCTTGGCCTTCTATATTTATCGCTTGACATCTGTAATGTCCTCTACTTTCCTTCGTAATTCCTCGAAGTATCAGTGATTGGTTGTTGACCTGGACACCCCTAGATACATTTGTCGACAGAATATCGTCGTCGGCATACCATGTTACTTCCGTCACAGCGGGATTAGACTTAATATTACATTCAAAATACACATCACTGCCTTCTTTAATTCCAGAGTGTTGGTTACTTGCACCCATGGCAACTTTAAGTTGTGGAGGATCTGAAAATAATAGTTAAGTGGAAAAACTTTGAAATTTTAAGTTAAAATAACATTTTGTATTAAAAAAATTATTCAATGAATGCTTAACATTTTGTTTCATTTAGTTTCAAAGCATTACGATTTTGAAAATTTAAATTTTTGAGATAGAAAATGTTTGTTACTTCATTTGAAAAGAACTATTGTGTGAATTTCCGTTTTGATCCAAAATTATTTATCTTTTTGAATGTTTTCTGCTTAATTTATAGATAAATAAATTACTAAAATCAAAATTAGAAATAAGAAGGAAGTTATTTATCTCTTATGTACGTATTTTCTATTCACTTTTTGAAATGAAAATGTCAATGAATAGTTTACTTATTAGATGAGCAAGAATAACGCACGACAAAAAGCAATAAAAGTTTGTATGCTAGTTGATTACAAAGTAGGAAAATCACGGATCTATTATTTGAGGGAATCCATTAAAATTGTGTTGCATAGAAGGAACACTATATAAGAAATGGTTAAAATAGTTTTCTTCTTAATTTATTTGCAGTAACAAGTAACTTAATTAGAATTTGTCAGACATCATTGACTTATTTTTCAATATTGCTTTTAATGAATCAAAAGTAATGTCAGTTTAAAAATAAAGATAGTTTTTAAAAAAAACTACATTAGTGTCTTAATTTTTTAAGCCTGAAAAAATTGATCAGAAATATTTAATTTAAACAATAGGATTAATGGCATCAATATTATCTGTTGTTGTTGTTGTTGCTAATTCCCATCTGGTCTGACGGGTCAATATTATCTAACAATATCATGAATATCTAACAATCATGATCTTAGCAATAAGATTCATATTAACATGCTATAATAATATCATAAATAATATTAATATCTAAAAATGCTGATTTTAACAATGAGATTAATGACATTAACATGTTATAACAATGTCATGAATATCTAACAATCCTGATCTTAACAATAAGATTCATAATGTCAATATGATATAACAATGTCATGAATATCTAAAAATCATGATCTAAACAATATGATTTATTTAAAGCTCTTTTTCTGCATGGACATTACATTTTAAATAAGTGCTTTTTAAAAGTTTATTAATGATTTTGCTTTTTTTCCCTCTATTTTTATTGTATTTTAATTTTTTGTAAGGCAGTTAAGATGAGGTAATTTTAACCTATCATTTACACCAGACTTTATCCCTTTTCCTTTTTTTTCTTTTGTTGATGTATTCGGTAATGTACAGACCCATACGAAAATACACCAGTTTGTACCAGTGAACTCTTTGAAAAAAATGAAAGTTAAGCACTAAAATGGCACTATTTAATGATATTTTTGAAAAGAAAAAAATAAAGATTTCTTTCACATAGCTTCTTTCAGATAATGGTGCATGTTTGCATTCTAACTTAAAAGAAATTAATTAACCAAATTTACTTAAACAGCAACTGAAAAAAAAGTTTGTAATGAGCTTTTTTCTTAAACTCTGAATTTCAACTTAATTTGTTCTTCGTTGTTGACATGCTCATTATTAAATGATTTGAAATTCGAAAAGTAATGTAAACTAAATTAAATATACTAGCGCAATTTAACTGAAATTATAAATTTTGGATCAAATAATAAGTGTACTGCAAAGAGATTCGCACACTTTATATTTTCTAAGTAGCATTATAATATGTTTCTAGACATACAGAAACTTTCTAATTCTGGAATATTAACTGCATATGTGTTGCTTACGAACTAAAAATAGAGATTAAATAACTCAAGACATTAACATTTTAAAATAAATATATTTTATATTAAAAATAAAAAGCCATTAATTTTATAGAAATTTGAAAAAAATATGGTAATGCGAAATTTTATTTTATTTAAATTCGGATTCTCTTCTCTCTCTTGTTATTATTTTTTTTTAGTTTACAGAAAAAAAAACTAACAAAATTATTACAATTTGGCAAAATTGATCAGTATATGAGTTAAGAGAATTTATGCAAAGTGTGCCGAAATTCGACCAACTAATTCACAGAAATGCTGAAGGGCACCAAGAGGATGAAAACTTATCATCAAACTTTACTTGATTTTAGTCATTTAATTTTAGTCACAAGAAATGGTTAGAGAATCAAAATCACGTAAATGCCTTCATTCTCTGAATCCAGAGGAGATAACTATGGTGGTCAGCAGAGCATTTGGTTCATTCATGATGCCTCCACAGTTCTAAAATGTACGCAATCATCTTGGTGTAACATAAATAAGAAAATAGTTTGAACACACTTGACTCGTTGCATCGTTCATACTTTTGCCAGATTTCAGTCCGTGCACCGTTTTTTTCTACAGAATTACCTTAAATCACTGTTACACGACTTGCATGCACATACGCATCGAAGAATCTCTCAAATTAGATTGATTCTGATTTGGCTGATATCAAAAGCCTACATATTATTTTCAAGCATATTCTGGAATCATTTGTACGTCGCTGTAGACATTTCAATGGCGTTAACTGATGCCAATTCGAACATCTACTGAAGTAATTAATAAGATGAATCATTTTATTAGATAAGAAGTTTGTAGTATCTTTTATGACTCTTTTCCAACATGACGCTGAAACCTTTTTTCGCGATTTTCAACTTCTCAACGTGGTTTACAACCACATGTTCTGTTGTCTGGTATTCCTTTTACTACCTTTTAATACTTTTTAACACCTTATAATTTTTCGTTTGAATTCTGAATTTCCTATATATATCTGAAAAGGGAAAATTTATTTCGTCGAAGAGAGAGAAAGTCTTTAATGCTAAAGGAAGAATGTGTAGGATAACAGTGGAGAGTAAATACTGTAAAGGGACATAATATAAAGTCAAAAACTTTATAATCTAATATCTGTAAGAGTCTATGCATAAAAGAAACAACCATTAGGAAAATAAGTATTCGAACAAAAAATCTTGAATTTAGCAAGCAGCTTATTAAATATGAATGCTACTGTAAGTTTTTCTTATAACTTCGAGAAGGCAATTAACGTATTCAACAGATTTGATATACTAAATGATCTCAAAAAAGGGAATGAAAAAGTTCAGGAAAGTTTTGGAAGGAAAAAGACATTATTCCAAATATAACCATCAAGCTAATAATAAGTGAAAGCATCAGCAAAATAAAGCTAAAAACTCAACAGGCAAAAAAACGTTCACCAATAAATATAGTATCATCATCATTTTTAATATTGATATAATTCGAAACATATACAGTAAGATGATGTAAGAAGTCAGAATAAACATAAAGAAATTAACAACAAAATGCAGAAAACATAGTCAGAAGGTGCATATTAACTGCAATTTTTTGTATCGATATCAGTCAAAATTTTTCCTACAAGGTATTGTCAAAACCTAAATAGACAAATTGGAAACTAAACTGAAACCAAACAGGGAAAAAAGAAAAAATTAAAACAATTAGGAAAAGAAAAGATGAAAATAAACAAGAAACAGGAGTACACTACTTAGAAACAGTATTACATTTATTTATTGTCACAATACTACCTTATCGTAAAATATTAACATGTCTCGGGAATCTAGCGTTTGCTGGACTTACTATTACTTCATAGATTTTGAGACTCCAAATGACTAAGTAAATGAGCACAGACAAGAGGAAATTGAAAGGCGGGAGTAGAAAATCAAAATTTTTATAAAAGTTTAAAGAAGACCTCCATTAAACAGTAGATTGTTTGTAAGTAATACCTTTACATTTAAACTGTTTGAATATTTTATTTTCTTTTCATCAACTCCAGATAAAAAAGACAATTTTTGTACAATTTGAGCATTACTTTTTTATTGTAAAATTTATATTGCTAATGCAATTGTTTCACCAATTAAAATAACTGATATAATGAAATGAAACTGACTACTATTGAACTGGAAACAAAGCTAATTCATTTTATAACTCCCAAAGATTTATTTAATATTATTGTAAGATATGAGAAATATAAAAGTTCTTTCAGAAGTTTAATAAAATATTTGATATAAAATTTTAAAACAAGTATTTTTCATGTAAATGCAAAGAATGCAAAGAACGCAAATCTGAATTCCACTATAAGTATTTCCAGAAATATTCATTCCCATTTTTATAGGTAAACTCATAAAAATAAAATTGTGGCATCATATTTTATTTATTTCTCCTAAGCCTTGAAGCTTGCATTTTTGTTTTTCTGTAGGAATTCTTAGTGAATGTACGCATGTAAATTCAGTGGTTTTTATTCTGAAAGGTATATATATCACAATAGGCATAATTTTTTTTTGCTCAGTCTCATTTGTTTGTTGCGTAGTATAAAATATTTATTTTTTATTTGCCTCTCGTCAAAGTGGATACAGCAAGAACTCAAGACATTCAAGATTTTTTAGTCAAACAATTTTGAAAATAAAACCTTGAATATCTGAAATGGAAAAATTTTAAAAATGAATCGGCTTAAAAATTGAAATTTTTCTACAAAAAGACCAATCTATAAGAAAAAAAAATGGATTCTATATTCCATGTATTATTGAAAAAATTGATATTATTGAAAAAATTGATTCTATATTCCATGTTTTTTTTTGTTTTAGTATTTTATTAATGACAGCTATTTTTTCCCCTTCTATTTATGTCAGAAGAATGTAATTATTATTATTGCTTATTTAATAAGTAGAAATTAAAAATAAATACTTTATTAATTCATAATGATTTTTACCAACAATAACAATTAATTTCTTTAATGAAATTCTGCATCTTTATTTAAGATGCCGTTAAGTCACTAATTAAATATTACAGTATCATATGACAGTAATAATTTTTCCCTTTATATATTGCTGGTATTGCAGTCGTGAAGTTTTTCAACAAACTAGTTCTCTTTCTAGTACACGTTTTTTTGGGGAGTGGGAATGCTGATCTGAATAATCATTCGATGCAGCTGACATTTAAGGTCACAAAAAAGTAAGTTTAATATAGCTCTCATTCCACTAACTTTTAAAAAGGGAACGATTTCTGAGATTTCAGATATTTAAAATTTTTATAATATAAGAAAACTATATGATTTAGTTAAAATTGCGTTGATATCAATGTTATTAGAAATTTATATTCGTAGTTGCAGTTTGTGTCACTTTTTTTTTCAAAGTTCTAGAGTATTGCATAGCAGGAAATTTCGAGATGGAGCTAATAGGGTGTGATTCGGTCAAAGCCAGTACAACCCTGATCTTTCTTGTAGTTAAAAAAACTTTATCAACAAAAAAAAGAAAGTTAAGTAACTATGTACTTTATGATATGTACTTTATTAACAAAAAAAGACATTTAAATAACTATGTAAGTGCATCGTTAAACCATTTTAGTTAAAGAAAAAGTTTCAAAACAAATAAAAACTCATTAATTTGTATAGGCCATAGACCAGTGCTTATCAAATTTTTGGAGTTGATTAAAACATGATAACCACTTATCCTCTTAAAAGAGTACGAAAAACGCTGCTAACATGTTGTTGACGGGTGACGAGTTAACTCGTCTTTTCATGCCCAAACGTTGTTGACCGATGAAGAGTTAACTTGTCGCTGCACTTGCGTTATCTATTTCAATTTATGAAATCCAGGATGATATATAATATTGCAAAACCTTTGCACATCATTTAGAATGTTTTAATTTACTTCCCTGTTCAGCTACAAAAAATAGCCGGTGACATGACACATATTGTGTAGAAATGCCGGTCAACAATGTGATAACAAAAAGACGATTAGTTTAGTGCAATAACGCGTACCATCATTAGTGCCTCACAAAATCAACAGAAAAACAGAAGTGCAATCGATTTGTTTCAATAATTGAGGAAAAATGACCAAATAGGTCTAGGAAATAAGATCAACTACTGAAATAGTGACACCGATAATACTATTTGTTATACTACTGGAACAATCACCAATCAGCAATCACATAAAGAAATTCTGCATCCTTATGTTACACCCGCATGCTCACATACCACAAAACAACATCGACTCTCTACAGAGTTTGCGCAGAACGAACGAAAGCAAGAGTGCGAGATCTCTCTAAATTGCCTCCATTATTCTATAGCAAAGAAATTGAGTATATATATAATAATTTTTTTTTAAATTTTCGTATGACAATGCATATACTGCAATTCTGAATTATTGAATTACTGTGAACTTACAATGCACATTTAAGCTCACTGTGTCTGTAATAGGATCCATCGGTAAATTCGGATGAGTCGCTTTGCAAGTAACAGTTTTCCCATTATCTTCTGCTTTTGGTGTAAAGGCATAGGTACTCATGGTGAGATTACCATCCTCTAAAATCGTTTCAGATGTTCCTTCGACCTCCTTACCTTCTCTCCACCATGTAAGTACGGCCTGTGGTCGCCCACCTCTAGCTTCGCATGTTAGTTGCGCAATCCATTCAACAGATAACGGTCTTCTTCTGGGCATTACTTTTACTTCCAAAGGTCTCACTGTCAAAATAAAAAGGAATTAGCAATGATTTAATTTTTTAAGAAGGAAACAGGTATCAAAAGAATAAAATTTGAAGTAATAATTTATTCTTTAATGACTTTAAAATTATTTGGCATCAAGTGCAAATGGCATTTTGTTCATAAGTAAACCTATACTATAACATATGCATTAAAAATTTAATTTATCAATTTCATAATAATTGCTTGTTGAGAAAAACATTACTCTTCTTGTTTTTCTATTAAGAAATTGTTAGAGCCGCCGACATTATTTTTGGTATTTAACTTAACATTACTTTTTTTTTTGCTGCGTAAAAAGAAGAAAACTTAAAATTTGCAGAGAGCAAAGTTGTATAAAACAATTAACATTTGATAATTAGTTTAAGAATTATTAACTGTTAAAATTGCAGGAAAAATTTTGACACGAGTCACTAAAGCTCACAGAAATGCCGCTACAAAGAAATTTGGCATGCTGGAAAGTTCATTTTGCTTATGAACTACATAGAGTGTTTCTAAAAATTAAATTCGTTCGAAAGTTATTGCAATTTTTAGGTCCTCTTTTGCGAATTTTTTCTCACTTTTTCTGCTTTACGCTACATTTTGCAGTTAGTACTGCAATACATAAATATAACGTTATTTGAAGTCTAACTAGAAATAATAGTAATTAGATTCTGTATTAATATATTCGGTATAAATATATTCGGTATTAATATATGAAGTCTTGCTTTTGTAAGGAAATACTTTTGGATTTGTATGAATTTGAATAAAATAAATTATTAATTTTACAACTTTAAAATTTATTCTGAGCTACGATCTCTCTGTGGTTAAAGCACTAACTGTCATTGTCAATATCTAGGACTGGATTCCTATAAGCAACTTGAAGCCCACTCATATTTAAATCGATACGCACCAGCTTGTCCGGGAAGTAAAGATAGCAATACGAAATACAGACCACATTGTCCCAGCCATGTTGTTGTTTATAAAATTGAGGAGTCTTAATCTCTATGATCTCTAGACCTAGCCAACAATTAGCTGTTTGCATAAATAATTTTCTATATTTTAATCTAGTGCCTTTCTATTACAACATAGAATTAACTTAAGTTTTGTTAAGTCAAATAGAAAGAAAAATATTCTTAGGATTTTCGCAAGGAAGGGTAGTAGCTGCCTAATCAAGTGATCAACTTAATAAATTTTGAAGTTTGTATACTTACAGGTGTTGAGCTCCGTTTGCAAAGAATTTACCAGAATGTGTAAATATATACGGTCAACTCCACGATTTTTTTCTGAAATTTGTTACATGTACGGGCACTGGGCATTCCTCTCAAAGAAAGGATCGATAGTGTTTTTTTTCGTATTTTATGGAAATTTCTTTTAGAAGAGGTAGCATAAATATAATTCTTTAAACACATTATTTTAATTCATTTAGTTAAAATCACGCACATTACTGGACAACATACTTGATCGTTAGATATGTAAACAAAGTATTTAAACCATACGTGTTTCAAAGTACAACGGCAAATAAATATTATTAAAATTTAAGGAATTCGATTTCGTAATCAATTTTGGTTACTTCCAAAAAAACTTTTTTTTGAATTTCTTGTATAAAACTTTCTTTAAGTTAATGTATTTTGATAAAAAAAAAACTTTTGAAAGATCTCGATTGTTCATAGTTACTGTTTAAGGAGAGTGACGCATTTGGGTTTAATTTCATAAACTGCAAAATGTTTAATTTATTCCTGTTTATTTTCCAACTTTATTTCTATAAGGATGGATGCCAAGAAAACCGATCATTAAATCAAAAGTTATTCAATACGTCTAAACATGAATGAGACGAACTGTTTTGCTTGTATTCCCCCCCTTTCCACAAAACATAAGTTTCTGTAAANCAAAATGTTTAATTTATTCCTGCTTATTTTCCAACTTTATTTCTATAAGGATGGATGCCAAGAAAACCGATCATTAAATCAAAAGTTATTCAATACGTCTAAACATGAATGAGACGAACTGTTTGGCTTGTATTCCCCCTTTTTCCCCAAAACATAAGTTTCTGTAAATAAAAATGAATGATATTCTGTTTTATAATCTGCTAAAAAATAACATAAAATTATTTTAAATACTTTAAAATCTTTAAATGTATTATTTTAAAACACTTCGTTTGCTATTTTAAAACAAATTATTTTAAATAACTTATTTTTTTATTATCTTTTATTTATTTCTTAAGCAAATTATTATACAAATATTATTAATTGTTGAGTAACGCAAATGTCTATAATATAATTTTTTTAAAACTTTTTCACTGCCTTTGTATAATTATTTTCTTTCAATAAAACGTGTTTAATGTCTTTAAAAATATCCATTCCAGAGTTAGGAAATTTCATTACTTAAGCAGCATTTAATTTTAAACATAAAATGAATCCAATTACAAAGAATTGAATGATAAGTGATTATAATAAAAAGCAGTATAATAAGAGGTGTTAATCCTCAAACATTTTTAAATTTTAAAATCCTCAAATATCCCTTACAAAAGAAAGATTACCCATGCCCTTCCAGTAGCTCTAGTTTGCAAAACAATAAAATTCTAATAGTTTCTGTAAATATCAATTATTTCAGAGCTGTTTGTTGTTACGTCGTTCGTTTTACGAGTTTCAGTTGAAAGATAAAGTATCATACCTATAAATTGGATCATTTGACTCCGAAAGCACCGCTATAACTAAAAAGTCAACAAACACAGTAAAGAAAAAGACTTTTTTTCTAATACCATCCAATTCTAAATAATTGGAAATTTGAATAAGAGCTTTTTCTTCATGCCACGTGAAACCATTTTCAGAGCTTTATTTTGTGCTTTTATTCTTGAGATAGCAGAGCAAAAAGCGATTAAAGTAATTAGCCATTAAAAATACCTTAAAAATGTATTTTCCGATATTTAGATACTTGGCAAGTTTCCAAAATCAGATTTACCCGTACGACTTCACAAAACAAAATAAAATTAAACGAAATTATTTCTTTTAACTCTATTAAAGTGCAAGGTAAAAGGATTTGACGAGGGTACATATTAAAGTTTTTCTTCTTTTTCAATGTAAAAGGGGAGCGCAAGAGAAAGCGATAATAAGGCTTTGAATGTATTAAAGTGAATGCGAAAGCTCTCTCTTAAACAAAAGATAAAAAAAACTAGTCTATGCTTTATAACAAAGAATAGATAAGGGGTATTTTTTTCTAGAATGCACAATTAAGCCAATTAAAAATACATTTAGCTAATTATTGTTAAACATTTATTTTCTGAGAATTTGTTTCAACTAATTTAAATGAAGAAGAAGTTTCGATTACGCGTTACTAGAGATAATTTGAAAGAACACTTGCAAATGCTGTTTTAAAACTGCAAAGGATTTTCACTATGCTCTCTAATTTATTGTTTCAAAAAGTACTGAAAGAAAAAACTAACTTGACTAATTCTGAAAGCTCTTTAGGAGAATTAAAATATTATTTTTATTTTGATATGTTAATATAAAAATGAATTGTTGCAATCGTTAATCCAGAAACCACAAGAGCTCTGATCCACTTTACAAATAATTAGGAAGCATTTATTTTGCTAATTACATTGTTTTTTTCTCAAATAAGGGACACACGCTAAACGTAAGTGACTTTAAAGGGCATAACAGTTTATCAAATCATATCAGATCATTTTTATTAATATCATATTAAATGCCAGCTATTTTATCGAAAATGTTAAAATCACTTTTCGCTATATCTACACTTCACTATATCTTTCCTTAATAATCAAATCTGCAACTTATATTTATCGATATAAATACTTTAAAATATTTTGAACAGTTTTTGTTCAAATATATAAGACTTCAAATATTCCGAAGAAAAATTAGCAATTAGCATAACATTTAAAATGTACCTGTTGTTTTGTTTGTGACTAAAAAGTTAGGTGTTTGACTCCGGAATATATCATAATTAACATTTTAGCTTATAGCTTGCATAGAGGGGTAAATTTAAAGATCAAAATCGAAACTATGCTGAAAACAAGAGCAAAAGTGCTAAATTGATTAATAGGTAATGAATAAAAGACCTTGAGAAAGAATATGCGCTATGGACGACATCACAATAACACCTACAAAAAAATAATAATAGTAAAAAAAACTATTTTGCCTTAAGATGCAACATAAAAAAAAACAGCTCGTTGATAACGTTTAAAAAAAACCCCGATAAAAGGCGTTTTACTTATGTATCATTCCAGGCAATTTTAAAATCCCCTGAATTTCGTAACCCTCAAAAAAGGTTGCTTTCGGAAAAGGTTGTTGGTACAGCGTTATATAACCATCCATTCCGTTTATAGAAATAATATATAACGAATGGCAGAAAAAATACTTGCAGAAAAAAATGAGGCTAACGCTAAACACGAAGATTCTGTTGTAAGATGGGAATTTTATTCTGATTTTATCCCTTACCGAAAACCATTTTTTCAACCTGAAATTTTTTTTTCTGCTTCGATGACCTGATGTTTGAAAAAGCTAGTTTAAAACAGGGTTGCATGTAATTTAAAACATTTTTAGAAAATTTAAAGAGACTGTCAAATTATATATTCATTTACTTATTTATTTATTTGTTGGAAAAGCATAGAATCTTCATAATTAATAATATATGCTAGAATAAAATTACAATTAAAAAATTATGAAACATTTTCATTTAAATCCTTAATAAGATTACCTAATTAATTACTTTGTCAATTTCTTTGTTTATTTAATTATTGATTTGTAAAACATGGCAACTTTACACGTGAAAGAACAATTCTCACGAAATAAATTATACTAGGAGGCTCTGCCCTCTGCTCGCTAACGCTCGCCAACCCTCGAGAATTGCTACGCAATCCTATGTGGTTCACGCCGTGAACCATGGCTCGCTGCGCTCGCTCGCCAATGAACACAATGTTCTAGCACAAAGACATAATATATTATCATCAAAGACATAGTATTTTATCATCAAAGACATAGTATTTTATCATCAAAGACATAGTATTTTATCATCAAAGACATAGTATTGTACTTATGTAGAGCTGGTAGTCGGGCTACCGAAGTGGCTTTTAAAAAAGTATATTAGCTATTTAGATTGTACATGGTGAAAAAATCAAAACATTAGCTAAGTAAGAAACATATAACAAAATAAATTATCAAATATTGCTTCACTAATATTCTGCATTTTAAAGCGTGAAAATTCAATGCATAAATAAACGCGAAATATGAAAAAAATTCAATGCATTCAATACAAACACGTAAACGTTTCTTAGACGTTTAGGTAGGTCACAGTAGAAAAATATCAATTCAACAGCGGCCTTTTAAAGCATTCTCACTTCAATTAATTAATTAATTCCTAATTGAGTTTAAATTAAATATTGTCATGTTTTTAGTGCATGAATCTGAATTGAACAACCTGATAATGCTCACTCTGGTTATTGTTATCTGGTTGCTCACTACGTGCTCTTGCGCGCCGAATCCAATCAATTAAAAATGAAAACTGTTGCCCGCGCGAGAAAAGAAATATCATCGGTTTTATTGATACATACATACATACGTACGTATTAGCGTTTTATATAATATAGATTACTTACGATTTAAATCCAACATCACAACGCGAGTTCTGGGCTTCGTGAGGTTGGTAAAAAATGCTTGACAAGTAATTTCGACTAAGAGATCAGACCTCTGTAGATCTAGCAATAATAATTCATTTCTCACTACTTCTTGCGGAGTAATGTTATATGTGTCATCTATTAAAATATTACCCTTCCACCAGGTGAGTGAAGGTTGAGGCTCACCTGAAAAAAATAGAATTAAAATAAATAAATAATAGGATGTATTAGGCATTGTTAATAATTTTCTAGCGAAAATATATCAGACGCTAACTGTTTTATTTCAAGTAATTAAGACAAGTCAGAAAAGTAGTTGCTTATATGGCAAAAAGTATTTATGAACCTTTCATTCCTTTGTTGTCAGTACTTGTCACAAAAAGACAGATAAATGACGATAATTAATAAGCTAATAGTTCATCCATTTCCTTGCTGATAGTAATTTGAAATGGGGAACTGCTCGTTGAACGACTTTTATTCGTCTTTTTTCTGGAGTGATAGAAGAGTAATTTACTTATTACATTAAAAAAATACTAACAGAGCCTAAAAAGGCAATCAAATTTCATTTCCCAAATAAGTTTTCTTGTAAAAGCATCATGTTGCTTGACAACATTATACACTTCAAATTACGGCGAAATATATAGGCACACACTCAGGATGTTAGTACTTTTTGCAGTTAAATATATTTTAAAAGAGACATATAACGGAACGAAAAATCTATATCGTAATTTTTATAGTAATAATTACCGAAAAATTACTGGATAACTCAAATTAAATAATTATTACTGTAAAAATTATTACTGTCCATTTAAGTGACGACAGTTTGATGAGTGCTCTTTTGAATTATTTAATAGTATGGATAGAAAAAGGAATCTATATTTTATGAATGTAAGAATGCTTGTGAAAAAATATTGCTATATAAATATAGTCGCAATAGATTTAAGTTGATGGATAATAATGTATGTTTGAAAAAAAATAAAAACTGTAATTTTAATTCAATAAATTTGAATACACTATTTAAACATAGACAATACAAATAAAAAATAATGAAGTTGAAGTTGTAAATAGTAATAACACAAGATAAGTTAAAAAATGGTATTTAATTTAGATGATGTTTAGTTTTATAACTTTATTTTGTTTTTAAAAAAAGCATAATATTGAAAATTCCTATGATAAATAAATAAAATTATTTCTGATTTTTTTATTATGTTTAATATTATTACGATTATGTTTTAAAATTATACAATTAGTCTAGTAATAGCCTTCGAATTTGTGTTAGTCCATAATAATTGTTTGAAAATTATTATGATAAAAAGCTTTTACGATGATTTTAGTATTTTTTTAAACACTTCCAAAAGTTGAAGAAAACTGCTTATTTGTTATATTCTTCATGTGTTCACGTATTCTTCATGTGTGTTCATGTCATGTGTTGTTCATGTGTGAATATTCCTCATGTGTTCATGTTTAAGCTTGCATCTACTCGTGTTTCTAAATATTCAATTATCGCCCAACTGTGATACTTACTAGAGATTGAGTTACAAATTATGTTCACACTAATTCCATTTCTGACATTCAGTTATCTGTTATTAACCTTACGCCTAGGTCATCATAAATATTTTCATCATTATGATCTTGCAATCTATCAACCGCAACGGTTTTTCAACAGGTACAGGTACCCTCTTCCGTTTTTTGACACGTAACTTCTTTTTACTGAGTTTTGGTCACTGAGTTTCGGTCAAACTACGTTAATTGATATGCTTAGATTACTTTCATTATATGCAGCTCGCAAAAATTCGTGCTCAATTCAGTATCAAAATGAATTCATTAAATGCATCTTTTTAACTACACCATATCATTCCCCTAGTATTTTTCGATCAAAAATTATTATTTCAGTAAGAAAGTTCAGTTCAGTTCAAGAAATAAAAAAATGCAAATGCTATTATTATCAATATAATCTTATGTAAAAAGGAAAATGTGATATTTTGCATATAAAAATCCTTCGCTTAAGCTGTGTGGGAATTTTCAATAATAATTACTTATTTTATATTGATTGTTTGACGTTGAATTTCGTTTCACTTACCGTCAGATGCTTCGCAAAATAAAGATACGGATGAACCTTCATCATAAGGCCCTATGACATCTTGCATTGTTTGACCATGCTCGTCTGTTATCACAACTTTTGGAGGCACTAAATTGCAATAAAAGTAAAAGAACTTAATAATGAAATTTCAATAAAGCAAAATATGTATTTTCTTCATACGATAATGCTGATAATTAAAAATATATATTCTCTTGCCTCATTTTTTTTACCTTTGTTCAAAATAAATACTCAGAATTTAAAATCGAATTAATTATGGATAAATAATACGATTTTATAACCTTGACATGAAGAGTTGAGTAGATAAAAGTTCTGAGTGATAATTTAGTCAGTTCAAGAAAATTACCATTAAAATTTATACATTGATGCATTTTGCGGTGCCTGTGAATAAAAATGGTTCTTGCGAAGAAAAATATGCTTCGCAATACTTGTTTGAATGCAAGTTTAAAATCGCTAAAATCTATAATATCCTAAACTCATTTAACAACAGTTGACCTCTTAGTGCTTACATTAGCAGGGTTTTAACATTCTGTCAAAAAAGAGAGAGAAAGAGAGACTTCATAAAATTATTACCGACTTTTCCCAATTGTAACTCGGAATCCATTTCTACTCGAAAATTCTCAATAAATCTACTGAAATCTTCGACATTTAATTTAATTTTATAATAAATAGTTTGTTTTCCCAAAAAGACCCTTTATTTTTCCCTAAGTTTTAGTTTAGAGTTTCTTACATTAAGCTCTTTAAATAGTAAAATGAGACAATTTTTAAGTTTTAGAGAAACCTTTTATACATATGTGCTCAAAATTAGAAATTTTTCCATATTTTGTCTATAACTCTAGAACTTAAGACCTAGTTGAAAGAAATTAGGTACCGAGATAATCGGATATTAAACTAACAAAATAATGATTCTACAAGTATAACGCACACACATGCTCGCTTGGAAATCTTAAAGTATGATACAGTGGCTAATTGAACAAAAAATAAGTTAATATTAGTCCCTTTCTAACTAGTTTTAAATTATTTGCATGCCTCACATAGTGATTTTATGCAATAAATTAGCCATTTGATGAATTCTACGTGGTCCCTTTCGTTCTGCAACGTCTCGTTCTGCAACGACGTGGAGGATTAAAGGATAAGGATGCGAGTTCCAGTTGCCCTCCTTAAGGAACTCCAGAGATGCTTAATTGAATTAATGTCTAGAGACTTTGATCGCAAATACAAAGATACACGAAACATATTTACTTTCTAGAAAATATTCAACACCCTCTTCCACACTTACTTTTTTGGAGTCATACTCTCTGGAAAAATCAAAAATCTCGGAGGAGTGGAAAATACCCCCAACCCACAGTTGGTACAAGGGATCAAAGCCGGGCTTGTCCCTTGACTTCCCGTGGGACAGACGTATCCGGACTGTTCTATCAAGGCTTGTTAGCAGTCACATCAAGTGCCTCACTTTCAACGAGGGTAGGAAAACTTTCGTAACCTGCACCAAGTGCCAAATTCATCAGGCTTCTCCTGAGCATCTCTTGGATCGCATGGAACACTCTAAGGAGGATCTCTTTAGCAATCCTCTCCTAGTTTTTGACTTCCTTTCAATCAACGAACTCGTGGATCTTGTCTAACTCCGTCAGACAGTGAGAATAAGCAACAACAACACAACAACAGAAAATATTCCACTATGGGTTACGAGTTGCTGTTCAATAAAAGGCCTACCTGCAATCCCGGAAAGGCGAATACCGTGTTACAGCACTATACCTTACATTAATCGCTGTGCCACTTTCAATGAGAATTAGAAGTATGAAAACATTCAACATGATGGCCGTTTAGACAATCAAACAACCACTTCCATAATGGATGATTTCTCAGGCATTCATGAGTAGGATGCAGGTCTTTCGTATTGATTTGATTATATCAAAATAGGAATGAGAGATACTCTACTTACCAATCCAGAATTTCAAACATTATGGCAGTGGAATTACAATGATCTAAACATGCATCTTCTTTAATGTCTGCACAACCTATCAAGTCTTTGAAATAACTAGTAATTTGGAACTGGCAACTATAAATTTGCAATAAATAACTTGAAATTTTCAACTGATGGAAGAGAACGAGGCATGATCTGCGCACGGAAAATAAGAGCTCATCTTATTGCCAACTTTTTGGTCTGTAAGTTCTTAGACCTCAATCTTACCTAGATTGTCTGGATTACTCTAGGGAGATCAATTGTTACTCGCATTCCCCTCAGGCAATCATTTAGACACTTGAGACAGCGTTGCTGAATAAGAGAGAAATTTTTTCTTAGAAATATCTAACTTGTGTAATTCTTTTTATATAAAACCAACCACAATGTGTGACAGGTATATCATTAAAAATTAACAAGCAAGGGAACAAAACCTTTACTTACTACGCCTTTTTGTTTGATTTTTTAACACCTGCTCAACGTTTTCAAAAAGCTCATGAGTATTACGCTTGTGCATGCGTATGTATCATAATTGTTAAAGGCTATTTATTTGTTTAGTTCGTTTTATATAATCATATTATTTAAATTAGAACGTTAGTTCCAGTTTTATCTGGTTAAAATATTTTGAATATCCGTGTACATAAAAAAATAGAAGTCAATCAGAAATTAAACTGAAAATAAAACATAAGTCTAAACTTAAATCAATCCCACAATTATAAATACATTTGTAATAAGGGAAATCATATGTCCTAAATACACAACATTTCAAGTACAAATTAAAAAAAAAACATGATAAGTAAATTTGATAATATATATGATTAATTTGTTCTGCTTTAATAAAATGACTTCTCGTCGGAAAATATTATTTATGCTGCCTTTCTATTTTTCGATATAAAATATGTTTTTCCTTTCAAATTTAATAAAATTTCTATTCACATGTTTTCTTTTTATTATGATTATTATAGTCATCGATATGAAAACTGAAGCATTTGATGTCAAAACCTGTCAGTCCAGACTAAAACTATGATACAAGTATGAAGAACTTATTAATAAATTTTTAATGCGTTAAAAAAATAATAAAAGGTGGCGTTGATGGCAGACGAAAAAAGTCATGCAATAATTTTTTCACGAATTCAATCATAATTTCAAGTGCTTTGGTACAAATTCTGCAATTTTTTTTAAGGACTAACAAGTTAAATAAAAATCCTTTCATAAAAACCATATTGATTTTTGCCTGCACAGATAGTGACTCTTCATCCTGTTTTATAATAGATGGTTTAACCGATTCTTAACAAATATTTTTCGGCCATACTGAAACATGTACGTAACTTGTGCGTTAAAACCATGCAACTTTGTATAATATTTGGATTCCATTTTATCCTACTTAAAACTATTTTGTTGTTGTAACTCACGAAAAATGGATTAAGCATAGTTTTTCAAGCATTAGGCAGTTTTAGCTTTCATATATTTGTCATTCATTTTATATTTTAATTTCGAAAATGATTAGCTGTAAATGCCTTAAAAATGATTAATTGTATTACAGGAAATTTCACAATACATCAAATAACTACACGCTGACATAAGTATTGATATCAGGATTAAGATTAAGCCCTTTAAAAATACTTATCATTAGATATCTGTTTTCTACAAATAACGGTTGTTTATTGATTGCACAATCACCATTAAACAGTTATATAATTTCAATAGTTGCCCAAGGTCAAGAAACCTGAGATGGGCACACAATAGGCCTTGACCCTCTAGGGCTGTCGCGCCACTGAGTTTAGTATATTCATAAACACATTATTTTTTTCATTTACTTTTTTAATTCTTTGTTTTCTGCTAGCAGAGTAGTTCTGACTATTAGAAATAAGACATTCTTATTAAACATAAAAAAAAATTAAATATCTCTAATTCCATGTTTCTTCTTCTAAATGCTTTTTTTCTTGTTTATTAAATATCGATTTTAAGGCAATAATAATTAATAAGTAAACTCTATCAATTGTATAGTTTATTTCATCTGATATATGAATAACGTTTTCTAACATGGAATGCTTTTATTTAAAAATGAATTAACACTTCACATTCTCTTTAAATAAAATTTTAATTTAAGCACTTTTTTTTTACATTTCATTTATAGCAGTTAAAAATAAGGAGACTCTAAACAAGATGATTTTAAAACTTTTGTCTACCTCTTGGATTAAATTATGTCAGCATTGTAAAAAGAAGAAAGCTTTAAACACTGAAATTAAACTAATTATTGAAAGAAGGTTGTCTGTCATGAAAGCAACAATGCTTGTTTTAAACCATCCATTTTTTGTTAAATAGAATTAAAAAAATTCACATTATGCTTTATCATATTAAACCGTTCTTTGTCAATTCTTAGTCCAAGACTGCAAAGCAAACTACTAAAGATGTTGGTTCTAAAATATCAATTAACTTATTTGCTTAAAAAATTTTTGAAACTTTTTTTAAAAAAATGCTAAAAATAAGAATTTTTTTAAATCTGATTAAATGTAATTTTAGTTAACTACGCCGTTAAAAACACCACTATTAAACGGAAAAAAATTAAAACATCTTTAAAAGCTGAAAAATTGAATTCCTAAATATGGAATACCAACGAGTTTAAAATTATATTTTCTCTCATTCCTAACAATTGCTAAAATATTTGAGTTTATAAATAAAATTTATAAATAAAAGGGAAGGAATACAAAACAGGAATATCCTATTGAAAAACTCATTTTAGTAAGCACATCGATAAAATTTCCAATTCCACAAGCTCAGAAGTTTCATTCCTTCTACTGATACAAGTTCCATACCTAATATTTTGAGACGGATATAATGTATAAATGTCCGGGACCGTCTTAAATCTACCCGGCACTTGTAGTCCCCCTGATCCGGCTTCCGGATGGGGTAAATCTTGAGCAGAGGAGGGTGGACGTTGATGTCGAAGTAAGCTCTTCCCTCCATTTCGGGACTGGGGAAATGGAGAGCCTTCTTTAAAGCCATCTTTCTGATGTCTAAGGTATATATTGGGTTTGGAAGATCTTCCCGATACCAAAGAATCAGCGAGGCTGCATCGTCGGCTAAAGGAGTGGATATATTGCAAGGTAGGGTTGCCATTTCCCCGGAGACGGCCAAGAACTCCGGCCGAACTGAAAAATACAAATAAATAAATAAGTATTTTTTTTCTGTAAAATTGTATCTATATTATTAAAAAATACATTAGCAGCAAAGATATTCCAAATATGTCGGAATTTTAAAATTTTTTGTTATTTTTGAATTACGTTATGTGTTGTTTTAAATTAAATTCTCGTATCAATACAAAGATTGTGTCGAAAAATATTATAACATTACATTATACACCGAAGAGCCATTGCATTATGACCACCCTGCTAATAACATGTAGGACCACCTTTAGCCTTCAAAACTGCTAGCACCCGCCGTGTCATTAATTCCACAAGGTGCTGATAGGTAGTCTGAGGTATCTGGTACCAAGCGCTCGCCAACTGGCCCTGCAATTCCCTCACATTGCGAGGGAGTAGCATGGCAGCACGGATTTGGTTTTCCAAGTAGGACCACAAATGCTCTATTGGAATAAGGTCAGGTGAATTTGGGGGCCAAGACATGATTTGAAAGTCACTGGAATGTTCCTCGATGACTCGACCCTTATGACATAGTGCATTATCCTGATGGTAAACACCATCCCCCGCAGGAAAAACTGTTGCCATGAATGGGTGAACCTGGTCTGCAATTATGTTCAAGTAACTTACAGACGTCAGGGATTGTTCTATGAGGATTATGGATCCTAATGTGCTCCATGAAAACATTATTCCTGGGTGAGAAAGCTTGAAAACCTGGGCGAGCCCATTGTTATAGATGGAGGGTGGTCGTAATGCAATGGCTCTTCGGCGTATTTTACATCACATGCATGGTTAATAAGTAATTTTGTATACATTCTATCTTGAATTCAGAAATTCTTTATCCAATAAAAGAGTCAGAAGCAACTGCATATTCTCATGAATGTAATATGAACAGGTGATAAACGCACATGTGTCTATATGTATTAATTAAAAAAACATATTTATCTGTGACGGTTGAGCTAAAAATAAATGTTTAATTTAAAATTACACAAGGACTGCTAAGGAGTAGAAAGTAAGTAAAATTATTAAAAATGACAGCGAGTTTATTATTGTCACATTGTCTCAGTTCCTTGAACTGAGATAAATGATAATTATGTGTAATTATTATAATACAAAATTGCAGAAAATTTCGTTTTTTGCACCTTTGCCCATAACGTTTATTTAAACTGTGCCTCATTTAATTATAAAGTTTTTCTACTGTTTGCAAATGTATTCCTGAAGAGTATAAACTTACATAAAAAAATTACAACTTTCTAAAGTAAGGTAATTTTATTTTAATACATTCTAAATATAAATTATTTTATAGGTCTGAATTGATCATTATTTTACCCAAATGACTTTAATCTTCCTATTTGTTTTTAAAAAAAGATGTGAAAATATATATAGCATTTCTAAATTATTGCTTTGAATAGTACAAAATTATTTTATTAGTGAGCACACATTTCAATTATTTCTAATAACTAATGCTTTTTATGGAGAAAAGTAATAATAACACTGGGGGAACAAATTTTTTGTTGCATTAATACAAACTCTTGCTTAATTCGAATGTGGGAATTTTAATTCTGAAACTAGTTTTGCTCCAAATAGTACTTAACTTTTAAGCTGACATTTTTAGTCTATTTTGGATCGGAATAAATAAATCTAAACACGTTGTATATCACAGGATGTCGCGTAAATGTAGTGACCCCCAACTTCTAATGGAGTACTTCTAGGGAAATTTGACAGGTCATGAGGTTTAAAATTACTTAGAAATCCATTCCCGGGAATATCTCCGGGTGCTTCCATATTATGATCTATCTGTTCAGCAAAACACGAAGAAACAGTTCATAATAAGAAAGCTCCCTTGGCGGCAATCGACGACGTTTCCGGATATGAGTTACTTCGAAATTATAATCCTGGTGATGTGTCTTAACTTCTCTAAAACTTTCGTCGCGACATTTATGCTGTCTCTTGTTATATATAACGTTTTTAAACGTATACATCTCGACAAAAAAAAATAGACTAAAAATGTCAATTTAAAAATAAATTGTTGCTTGAAGAAAGAAACTGATTGCAGTATAGAAATTAGCAATATGAAAATATTTAAGATCTGTGCAAAAAATCTCATGCAACAGGAAAAAAAATGTTCCCCAGTGTTAACATAAGAAAAAAGTGCTTTCATACTTAAAAATAATTATAAATACTATAATATCTAAATAATCTAGTTAGGAATTATTCAATTATGAATACTCATAGCTAAACCAAAGAAATTTGACTGAAATATATGAATAGATGAAATGAATAATTTTGTCATAATGCAACAAAATGTGAAAGGTTGTTGAGCTGTGAACAAGTTGAACAAATTTCAAACTAATTTATGTAGTGGAAGTAGCATGCTTTAAAAGTTAATTAGATTTATTCTATGAATGGTAAAATGAATATTAAAGCACAATATCTGAAACTTAAAAAATAATTTTATGACTTTAGGAATTTCGGTCAGAGATGGGCATCGTAATTAATCTTTATGCAAATTTAATAACTGGTAAGAATTATTAATTAGTATTTATAAAGAAGCACTTTATATTGCTGAAGAATTAGATTGAACTAAAAAATGATGTTAAAAATACACAACAGTGCTAAATTCATAAATAGTATGTCAAGGTGTAGTAAGTGATATGTTAATCATATGTGTAAAAAATAAAATTTTTCGATAAGTTGTAACTTCATACAAGCATCTGCTAACAAGAATAAAATATTCCAAAATCTAAAAAATAGGAAAAAAAATAGATATTGGAGAAAAAAAACTAGCGATTGCTTTTATACATACTTAATATTTATTAAAGCTAGTGGAAGCGTATTTTTTAACAAAGTGAAATTTATGGATGCCTGTAATATTGGATATTTCTTCCTTTTTTTGCCGTTATCGATTTTTATTTTTACACGAAGTAATGAGATAACGAAAAAAGTTAATAAAATTAACACATAGAATTAAAATATTAGAAAATGGCTACTCTCATAAAGAAAATATTGTGTATTTATTCAATAAATGTTAATTTAAACTCATACGTTATCAGTAGTTAGTGAAAAAGCTTTCTTTTGGTTTATAGGATGGTCAATTCATATTAGCGCCAAAGAAAGTTCTTTCTTATGGTAGTAATTTGTTTTCCTAAATTTCTAATCTGTTGGTTTTCTTATTAAAAATAATTTGTTTGGAACTTTTAATCATTAACTTACTTCTAATCGTTTTTTCGCATTCGTTGCTTATTTCCACGTATTTCTATACAAAGATTAATAGCAAAAAAAATTATTCAAATATATAATACTGCTTTAATTAATTTTTTTTGTATTTAAAAATTATATANGTTTTCTACGGCAATAAAACATGTTTTAAAATTTTAAATTTCATATTCTTTTAGTATTAATTTTTCAGACTTCGACATAATTTCAGTTTTTTCATTAATAAATTATCGTTTAGCTTCTGTTAATGTGCAACCCTTTTTTATTCTTAATTTTTATCAGAGGATTCTAAAAATTATAGATTAAAGGTAATAGAACATTGCCTCACATGTATTTCTTCTGTATCACTAAAGCAACTGTTCTTTTTGAAGATTCTGTACTACACTCTGATATTTTTTTTCTATTTTGATATTTTTTTGTCTTTTTATAATAGACTCTAGTAGCAACAGAAAATTTGACAGTATCAAAATAAATCTCCGGGTGTTATATTTCGTTTTTCTTTATCTATACTCATGAATATTAAAACCGTCAAAGGTGGTCCTTGCATAGAATTAAACATCAGTGCAGATTGCGGGCTTGAGGTACAAATACGCCTATGACTTCAACTGTTTGTTGATATTCTTCGTTTTGGATGTTTATATTTCCTTAGATAGCTTGAAGAAAAAGCTAATACCTTATGTCTTATCAAAGATAGTTCTGGTATCAAGATGTCTTTATCAAAATTAATATCTAAGTCGAAAAAAAAAACAAAATCGCTATCGTTATCTTTCGAGAAAGGAGGTGGGAAGGAAGGCACACACAACAAAAACTGTTTCTTTGCCTGTTGAAACTTGGAGGTGTTAATAATATTTGCATTTACCCTCCTCTTCGTTTTTGCTAGCAATAAAATAGGTTTTGATGCTTTCAGTACTGTCTTTCTTTTTACTTTTGTTTTTTCTTGGTTAAATATAAATTTGAGGATCTTAGAAGGCATTTTGTACAAAAATCTTAAAAACAGATATATATTAAGAGTGGTTATTACAAGACATCACTCCTATTATTTTAATATTTTCATAACTATCCATACCAATAACATACTCTCAGCTCTAATTTATTTTTAAAATAATTTTTCTACTTAAAAATTTTTATTCTTTGAAAAAAATTGAATCAATATCAGCAACAATTAAATTCTTTTTATCTTAAAAGTGAGAATATCAAAGTCAACTCACGTGCAAGATATTTTCTTTTCCATATCTATATTCATAAATATTCATATTAATAAAGGATAGTCTATGTACAAATATCAGCATCAACTGAGAGTGCAGACTTGAAGTACATATACATCTGAAACTTTAGCTGATACTTCGTTTTGGATATCTATATTTTTCTCAGATGATACTTTCTCTCTCATACATAATACAGAAGCCGAATTTCTTACGAAAAAACAGCATAAATAAAATTTCGACTTTCGGTCTAGATCTATCAATGAAAATCATATCCCATCTTTCTTTTTCTGTCTCTTATGGGGTAGAAGTGATATCTTTCATTCTTCACCTTATTTTTCCTTTTATTTTGCAGGAACCCGAGAGTATATTTTCTCGATAAAACTGGATTTATTTCTCTCGTCACTTGCCGGCAATCTCAGACCTGCTCCTTTTTCTGAATGAGATTTGTTCAATAGTGTCATTTTAAACATAGAAAAATAACATAAATCTAAAGAAGAATAAAAAAGCTGGCTTATACGTCTCTAAAACTAATTTTATAGAACATTTACCAGGAGTTTAATGCTACCATTTGTAAGAATATGTGCTGTCGGT